AAAAAAAAAAAAAAAAAAAATGCCTCTTTGGTTAAAAAAAAAAATTTCTACCTGTGTGACCGGTTGTGACACCGTGAGCACACTGCTCACCCTCTCTTTGCCTTAGTTTCCTCATCTGTAAAGCAGAACCAGGCTATCCCTGCCTCCCGGTTGCTCTGAGGATTGGATGATAGCTATATAGTAAAGTCTAGCTCAGGCCTGGCTTAGAAGGACAGCCAGCATTCATATTTGAGGGACATTTTGCAGTTGTCAGTATGATTCTGCACATTTGTTTGCTACCTTCGAGAGAGATTCTGGCTAGGTAATATGCTCCCCGTTTTGCAGCTGAGAAAATTCCAGGTCCAGAGAGGTTAGGTGAACTACTGTAGGTCACACAGCAAGGGAGTGGTGATTAGGAGGATTTTACCGTGAGTCCTGGGACAGCGCTTGTCCCTTTGCATGGAGCCATTGGAGGACAACCTCTGTGGCTGAGTGCCATCCACTTTGTCCTTCCTGCCAAGGGCCAAGAGGGAGCAGGAGGTGACCGTGCTGAAGAAGGCGCTGGATGAGGAGACGCGCTCCCACGAGGCCCAGGTGCAGGAGATGAGGCAGAAACACACGCAGGCGGTGGAGGAGCTCACGGAGCAGCTGGAGCAGTTCAAGAGGGTGCGTTGTGATACTGGTCCTGACAGCACAGGCGTGAGCAGTGTGTCAGTGGCTTCTAACGATGGCAGACTGTGCTGCCTTGCCCCAAAATCCAAAGCACACCTCATCCCCTGTCACGAATCACAATCAAAACACAGGTGTGCTAGCCAGGTGTGGTGGCGCACACCTATCATCTCAGCACTCTGGGAGGCTGAAGCAGGAGGATCATAAGTTCAAATCCAGTCTGAACAACTTAGTGAAACCATGTCTTAAAATGGGGGTGCAGCTGAGATGTGGCTGTGTATAGTACTGGGCTCAATCCCCATTACACATGTGCATGCACGCGTGCACACACACACAAACAGTGCCCTGGAGATAGTGTATAAAATCACGTTCAGTCCATGTACATAAGGTCTATCTGGAGCATAAGTGAGTTGTGTGTTTAGACTGGGGCCCCCATCCCAAAATGTCTCCTTATAAACTACATGCAGATATTCCGTACTCTGAAAATCATGTGAACTCTATGACTCCCCTGGTCCTAACCATTATGGATAAGGGATATGCAATCTGTGTGTCAGGGTCTGTAGGAAGATGAATCCCAAGGTGTCCAAGGTTCTAATGCTAAGTTGAGTGGTTCATGTTTAGGAAGTAATTCCCACCCATCACACCTAGTCTCTGACAAGCCCTTGGTGTCTGCTTTCTGTCACTATCACAACTGAGCTCTTCAGTTTATAAAGAGAAAAGGTAAGCCAGGTGAGGTGGTACACATTTGTAATCCCAGTACTCTGGGAGGCTGAGGCAGGAGGATCTCAAATTTGAGCTAGACTGGGGAATTTAGCAACTTGGCAAGACCTTATCTCAAAAAATAAATCGTGGGATTGTGGCTCAGCTGGGTGAACCAGCTGAAGAATCACCTGAATGTAGTTGAGAGTCTGCAGTGTCCCCACCACTCCTTATGGTGAACGCACTTCCCCCTTTCTGGGTACTGGTTCACCCTGTTCTGTCGGATTCTCAGCCTTTAAATTACAGTAATGATCCTTTGTGCAGTCTCGCCTATCGTGTGCCAGGCACTGACCCCAGTGCTGTAGGGATCCCGACACGTTTCCTCTCACCTGTGGCCCTTGTTCAAGTGCCACTTGAAGGCCCTCACCCCAGTAGGAATGGGTCTTGGGACCACCTTGGAGAAGTGTTGTCCAATACCGAGCTCGCCCTCCCCTCCACGTGAATAAGAGGGTCCTCTCAGACTCGTCATGTGTGCCCTGAATACTACCCTTAAGCATTCTGTTGATGCTCTACATATTTCAGGCAAAAAAAATGTTTTTGGTTCAAATCTTGACACACATTTCTATCTTCAAATAGCTTCCGTCTGCTGTGTCCCAAAGTGGGTTTGTTGCTGTTTATTTAACTTCTATATGATTTGAACCCAAGTGGGCTATTCCCACCTTCTGAAACAGCGCCAGGGCAATACTGAAGCAGACCTTTTCCTTTTCACTTTCTTGTGGGAAGACTGGGGACCCAGCTGGATGTCATTAGGGACGAGCAGGAATGTGCAGCCAGCCCGCATTCAGAGCTCTTGGGAAGAACTCCCGTTAGGCCACCTGCAGACAGCGCGTCTGTCCCTGCCATGCAGGGAACAGACAGGCTGAGCACCGCTGCCCAGCACAGGCTCCAGGAAAGAGGCCTGCACCTGAGCTGTGACTGGCTCAGGTCTGCCTGGAAACCCTGCGTCCCCAAATTTGTTGGGGACCCTTTTCACAGCAGTGTCACCTGGGCCCTTCGTATGCACATGCAGTTTGCCACAGTTCTGGGGTCTTAGGCTGGGCAGAGGTTTGGGGGGATCTAGGTCCCCAAAGGTCCCCCGAGGCCCTTGCCCATCGGTCTGTACTATTAACCCTAGGAGGCACCTTGTCATTGCAGCCCCTGCACACCGCACGGCACAGCAGTGCCCCCTGCGGCCGCCTGGATGCTACACAGCGAGCTGGCAGAACTGGGCAGGACCCACATACTCCTTGACTTTTCCCCTTCCTGTAGCCCTACGAGAAGCCCCCTTCTCTCTTCTGTGTTTGCCCCACTTTCTCCCTTAGGGAAGCTCACGTGCCCACAGGAGCGCGTTAGATGCATCACTGAAACTGTAAATCTGCCGATAAATGTGCACGGCCACAGGGAGTGGAGGGGACTAGAGCCAGATCCGGCATCGCCATCCCACCTGTTGGGCCGGCCGTGCTTAGATCCAGCTGAGCTTTGCCTTGGAGGAAGGCAAATTCCTGTTTTCTAGATGTTTAGTTTGCTTTTTGAAAGAATTACTGAGGTATGTGCAGTTAAATTCATCAATGTTAAGTACATAGTGAGTGAATTTTGACAAATGTTTATCTGTGAAACCACTAGATATGATACAGAACACTGTTTTTAAAGTGAGAAGCTAAGAGTCTAGACTTTTGTGTGAAATTTATTAAGATACTGGCAACCAGTTTTTAAAGTACTGAGTGGGACAAATGGGAGGTGACAGGAGGTGGACAGAGGGGCCGGGGTGCCAGCTTGCAACCCCCAGGCTTGGGATAACGAAATCCCAAAAGTCTTACCGCCACTTCTGTCCCCCGGGATGAGGAGCACTGTCCCGGGACTGACCTGTGGGGACGGGAAGGGAAAGAGGAGGAAGCTGGGGCAGGCGGCAAACAGGCTCCCACCCAGCCATCGCCTCCCTTGCTCACTCGGCCAGGCCAAGGCGAACCTGGACAAGAGCAAGCAGACGCTGGAGAAGGAGAACGCAGAGCTGGCTGGGGAGCTGCGAGTCCTCGGCCAGGCGAAACAGGAGGTAGAGCACAAGAAGAAGAAGCTGGAGGTGCAGCTGCAGGAGCTGCAGTCCAAGTGCAGTGATGGAGAGCGAGCCCGGGCCGAGCTCAACGACAAGGTCCACAAGCTGCAGGTGAGGGGCAGCGTGGAGCCCTGTGGGACTTCCTGTGGTGCGAGGACGACCCTCGCCACCAGCTGAGGTCTCTCGGGCCACCACACGGGGAGGCTTCCTTTTGTCACACGCTGCGCTGCTCAGCTTAATCTTTTCAAAACCATCATGTACTGAAAGTATTCACTGAGCACCTGCTGAATGCCAGGCCCTGTGCTTAATCCTGAGATGCATCAGCAAGGGAGAAGACAGACACCGTCCCAGGAGAACTCCAGCCCACTAGGCTGGGGGAGACACTAACCACACATGGACATAAAATTACACTGGAAGGGGAGGCAGATTATGCTGTAAGTGCAAATAACAAGGAGGTCCAGCTTGGGAGAGGGTTCAGAAACAGCTTCCCTGGGGAGGACTAAAACTGGATGGTAAGTCAGCCAGGCAGAGGGGTCAGCACGTGCATGGACCTAGTGGTAAATGGGACAATGAGGGGTTAAGGAAGCCAGGAGAGCTGGGGTGCTGGGAAACGTACAGAGTGGGACTGGAGAGGCAGAATGTGGCCAGACACTGCATGGCCTTCGAGGCCCCGTAAGATGTTTGCTTTGGCTTTGCTCTGAAGCCATCTAAGGGCTTTAAACTGACAAATGACATAATGTGTTCATCTTTGGTCTTTAGCTGTGAAGACACAGCTGGCCTTAATTTTCATTGGGAAATGGCCAGAAGTTCGATCAGTATTTAATGTGCTTACAACCTGGGGAAGGGGGAACACTGTGACTTTTTTTCCCACATGCAGTCGAGTGTAGAATTCCATTCCCCTGTGACAAGCTCTGTCCCGGAAGAGCAGTCAAGGTCCTTTATTTACATCCTCGATGTAAATGGAAGAGAAGGGTAGCAGGACGACATCTCCAAAGATCCTGCCTGGAGACACCAGGGGTGGGAGCAGAAGCCAGAGGTTTTCTCAGCACGAGGACTTTCAGACTTTTTCATTTTGGTCAGCCTTGGCAGGGATCCAGGATCCAGTCAGTGGGATCAGGGTCCAGTCAACAGTTTGGGTCTCTAGCAGGTTCTTGGGCCAGGAAACCCAGCTGGTAGATGATAGGTTTCCCTAAGGTCCACAGAGTTCCCCACCACGTGGGCATCTTCTCAGTCTCTGGATCTCACAGGTCCTATCCCTTGAGGTACCTCATGCGTTCTGAGGAAGAAGGGCTCCTCTTGCTTAGTGAGGATCCTGTTCTGACTGACTGATGTGTGGGCTCCCTCAGAACGAAGTGGAGAGCGTCACAGGCATGCTCAACGAGGCGGAGGGCAAGGCCATTAAACTGGCCAAGGATGTGGCGTCCCTTGGGTCCCAGCTCCAGGACACCCAGGTGCGTATGGTGCCACGTCAGCCAGTGGGACCTGGGTGCGACCTTCCTCTGGGTGCGACCTTCCTCTGTGTCTGCTCTTCACAGGAGCTGCTTCAGGAAGAAACCCGGCAGAAGCTAAACGTGTCCACCAAGCTGCGCCAGCTAGAGGATGAGCGGAACAGCCTACAGGACCAACTGGATGAGGAGATGGAGGCTAAGCAGAACCTGGAGCGCCACATCTCCACCCTCAACATCCAGGTGCCTGCTGTGCGCCTTTGCTCAGGTCATGGGTCCCTTCCTCTTCTGAGCCTAGCGTTCTGGTTGTGGTTGAGCCAGTGGTGCCATGTTGCTTGGCTCACCAGCGCCCCTGCTGGTGGATTTCTTCCGTGAGGAGAAGGGCCTGGTGGGTAAGGATTAGAGGTTGCTTGGGGACCACTTCTCAGCCCATCCTGGCCACTGCTTTCAGCTCTCCGACTCGAAGAAGAAACTACAGGACTTGGCTGGCACCGTGGAAGCCATGGAGGAAGGAAAGAAAAGGTTCCAAAAGGAAATCGAGGGTCTTACCCAGCAGTATGAGGAGAAGGCAGCTGCTTATGACAAACTGGAAAAGACCAAGAACAGGCTTCAGCAGGAGCTAGATGACCTGGTCGTCGATTTGGACAACCAGCGGCAACTGGTGTCCAACCTGGAGAAGAAGCAGAAGAAGTTTGATCAGGTAGGGGTAGAGGGTCCTCCACGCTATCTTCAGACACTGGGAGCTCAGGACTGCATGGCCCTAGAGGTGGCAGCTGGGGGTCTGCATCCCATGCCCACTTTGCTGGAAGCGATGGAAAGCTGTCTAGATCAGATCACATGAGGGCTACTGGACCCAAGCGGGGACACCAGTAGAAGCCTCAATGACAGTGACTTTTCCAGGTACCAGCACCGTGAGGGACATCCACAAACACAGCAGTGTTTTACCTTCCAGCCCTGATAAAGAAGTTCCTTTATTTTATTCACTCATGAGTAATCATGGAGCATTTATTGAGTTTCCCAAGTAACTCAAAGTTTATACTGTTTACTACCACTCTTCCCTAACATTTCATCACGTAAAATTTCAAGCACACAACATGAAAAGACTGTGACCACCTGCATAGCCACCACCTGGATTTGACCACTAGCGTTTCTTAATGTGTACTTTATCACATACTTATTTAAAGGACGAATCCTATCTGCCAATCATGTTTTCTCTTCCGGGTGCAAATTTAAAGCGAATTACAGACGTCTGTGTATTTCTCCCATAACACCTCAGCACTGCTTGTTAACTGGAGTTCATTTTAAAAAATAACCCTGCTTCTTTTGAGGTAAAATTTACTCATGATAAAATACACAAATCTTAAGTTTACACCGAGGCTTCTGATAAATGCACACAACTGTATAGCCCAAACCCTAAATACTAACTTTTAATAGACATTACCCACTTATTTCATAAGTGCCTCAGGGTTATTCTAAAAATCAAGTTTAGATTCTATCAGGAGGTCAGAGGCAGAGGCACAGGAGGCTTACAGCTCCTCCTGGCCTCAGCATGCTAGGCTCCAGCATCCCAGTCCTTTCGTCTCCCTCCCTGGGCTGCCAGCTTCTCCCCATTGTTTCATTATCTACAGAAGCCTGAGGTTGATTCTGTTCTTTCCTGCTCATAACACGGCATGGAGTTTTTGTGTGGACTGTGCGGTTTGGAGGTTCCTGTTACTGACCAATCTTTGCTAAATCCTGAAAGTCTGATTTTGGGTACTGCAGTCTAAACACACTGCCTAGCTCTCTAAAGGCAGGATGAGCTTCAGGATGGAATGTTCTCTGAGTTGCTTCCCAAGCAGAGGGAGAAGTGTGTGCAGGTCCATCCGTATTTCCCATTTCCCTGCTGTGTGTGGCTCAGGGGCACTTCGGGAGATAGCTTCTTGTGCCCACAAGACAATCAAAGAACTGCTGACCTTGAGTAGGATTCAAGGTCATTTTGACCTTAGCGGCAGGATGGATGTTCTGAATTCTGACCAAATCAGCAGCATGATCCAGAGGTGACAAAGCAAGATGACTGCAGACGACTTCTGGAAACATCTAAAATATTTCCAGCTGCACCAGGGCACCTGCAGCCATCCTCAGGGCTTCCTCCTCCCGTCTGTGGTCCAGCGAGGACGAGCCTCGGCTACACTGGGGCACCACTGAGCCTTCTCTCATGTTGCAGTTATTGGCCGAGGAGAAGAACATCTCTTCCAAATACGCGGATGAGAGGGACCGAGCTGAAGCAGAAGCCAGGGAGAAGGAAACCAAGGCCTTGTCCCTGGCCAGGGCTCTCGAGGAGGCCCTGGAAGCCAAGGAGGAGCTCGAGAGGACAAACAAAATGCTCAAGGCCGAGATGGAAGACCTGGTCAGCTCTAAGGACGATGTGGGCAAGAACGTAAGTGCCTCGCACAGCCCCATTCCTACCGAGCAATCCTCAGGACAGGAAGGCTGGGTGGGGGTGGAAAGGGCTGCAGTGAGCTCCCAGGGGCCATCTCGGTCCCTGGTTGTTCATCCTGTTGGAGGCCCAAGGCCCCTTCTCTGTCCCAATGAGCCACTGCTGCTGCTCTGGGGTCCAACCTCACTGTAGTAAAGGTGCTGCCGCTCTGCCTGCCAGGTGCATGAGCTGGAGAAGTCTAAGCGGGCCCTGGAGACCCAGATGGAAGAGATGAAGACGCAGCTGGAAGAGTTGGAGGACGAGCTGCAGGCCACCGAAGATGCCAAGCTGCGGCTGGAGGTCAACATGCAGGCGCTCAAGGGCCAGTTTGAGCGGGATCTCCAAGCCCGGGACGAGCAGAACGAGGAGAAGAGGCGGCAGCTGCAGCGGCAGGTGAACACTTGGGAGAGTCAGGAGAGGGGAGGCGGGCGGCCCTTTCCCCTTCTGCTCCGCTGCCTGCGGGCCCCATGGAGGACAAACCCCCACACTGGCAGTTGTGCTGGCAAGGCCCATGAACGTCCAGGAGCGGAGTCATGGCCTCTGAGGGGTCCCAGGCAGCACACATCTCTTCCTCACTCAGCTTCACGAGTATGAGACGGAACTGGAGGATGAGCGAAAGCAGCGCGCCCTGGCGGCGGCAGCCAAGAAGAAGCTGGAAGGGGACCTGAAAGATCTGGAGCTTCAGGCTGACTCCGCCATCAAGGGGAGGGAGGAAGCCATCAAGCAGCTCCGAAAACTGCAGGTGGGTGACACTGAGTCCAGGGCTTTGGTGAAGAGGGGACCACTCTCCAGGTCAGTGTGCAGGGCTCCAGGAAGCAGGCCTTCCTCTATTGTGGGTGCCAGCCTGGCGGGGGACTTCCACTCCCACAGAGCTTTAGGTGACTTTCCTGAGTGGGACACTGTGGTCAGGCAAGTAGCCACTGCCCTCAGATCACACTCAGGGCTCAGCTGCTTGGGTCTGCTGAGCCCATGCAGCACAGTGCCCCCAGCCACCCGAGACAGGGCAGAGCCACGCCCCAGGGACTTCTCTGTGCTTAGAAGAGCTGAGGGCCTGACACACAGAGGCAAGTCTGCCAGTGCAACCAGGTTGAGTAAGGATATCTTGTCTTGTCCGTCCACTGACTCTCAGGCTCAGATGAAGGACTTCCAGAGAGAGCTGGAAGATGCCCGCGCCTCCAGAGACGAGATCTTTGCCACTGCCAAGGAGAATGAGAAGAAAGCCAAGAGCCTGGAGGCCGACCTCATGCAGCTCCAGGAGGTAAAGGCTTCCTCCTGCCAGGACCACCTGCGGGACCCGAGCCTGTGCATCCAGAGATCTCCTCCCCTCAGCCAGTGTGCCCAAAGGGCAGACCCACGCCTTAAGAGCAAAGACAGATGATGTGTGTGCGGGAGCTTCCTGAGCTTAGAGCAGGAACTTGCATTTCAAGCTGCTGCAGAGGCTCTGGAGGGCTAGGTGTCAGGAGCAGGGGGCTTCTTGGGAAGGGCTGGGTCCGTCCCCAGTAGACAACAGCTCTCCTCCCTGCCACTCCTGCAGGATCTCGCAGCAGCTGAGAGGGCACGCAAGCAGGCCGACCTGGAGAAGGAGGAGCTGGCTGAGGAGCTGGCCAGCAGCTTGTCCGGAAGGTATAAAGCTGAGCATGGGAAGACAGCTCATAGAGCGCCCCGGAGCCCTTTGAATGCTGAGGGTCAGAGTACTCCTGAGCTCTGTCTGACGGGACAGATCCGTGGTGATGGAGGGGTTTTGCCCAGGAGTTTCCATGACCCCATTTGGAGTACGGCCAGCTTTGCTCATTTTGAATGAGTAGTGCGGCGGAGCCAGAAGGGTGATGGTGTCCCTGCCTCAGTCCAGGCTTTGCTGATGCGGGCCCAGGTAGAAGTCCTGGCTCTGCGCCTCCTAACCAGCAGTCTGGGATGAGGCTCCTAATCCCCTAAGCCTGTTTCCCCAGTTAGAGAACAAGGGCGACCTGAGGCGTAACTCCTCCAAAACAGGCACCTGTAGGCCAGGGCGAGGTCTAGGCCCCCAAGGCGGCTGTGTCTCTTCAGGAACACACTGCAAGACGAGAAACGCCGCCTGGAGGCCCGGATTGCTCAGCTGGAGGAGGAGCTGGAGGAAGAACAGGGCAACATGGAGGCCATGAGCGACCGGGTCCGCAAGGCCACACAGCAGGTGTGTGATACCCTGCAAGGCGAGGGGAGATGGGGGACAGTTCCCCCGGCTAGGTAAGTCCACACAGAATGCTCCAGGAAGCAGGCCTACCTCTGCCACCGGGGTTGGGAGCAAAAGGTCAGCTGGCGTTTTTACACTTTCTCTAGCCCCATTTCCTGCTCTCGAGTGGGTTGTCAAGTGGCCCTGCATGCGTGTCACGTGAGCGGACACCAGGTTGCAGCAGGGCAAGACCACCAGGGCCATGGTCCCCACACCAGATGAGCACAGTGCCTTGCTGTCCTGGAGCAGGGTCTAGGTCCCAAGTCCTGCACTGGTTCAGTGACATGCATTGTAGGCCTGCTGCATGCTGTAGGCCCGGCACAGGGGTGCGCAGGGTGAGACCTTACAGTAGGGACCTGGGCCCTTCCTCACCTCGTCCAGTCATCGTCCCCCCTGCATCTTCGGGACACCTCTCACCCACTTGCACGGTCATCTTCATTGGCCCGCACTTGGCTGGCCCTTTCCACGAGACGACGTGCCCTGGTATCCCCTTCACTGCTCCTTCCCTGGTCCCAGGTGCTGGCCTTGCCACCAAGCCTTCAGTGACATGGCCACATGAAGGTCACAGAGCCTCTGCCACCATGCACACTGGGACCACTGTGCAAGGTGATGGCTTCAGTGTAGGGTGGACACAGGACGGATCCTCACTCAGCCTCAGTGGCAGGGTAAAGTAGAGAAAGGTGGTGCCTTGGCCCAAGGACTCATCTAGGGTCAACCTAGGCTGGAGATGCAGGTGGAGGTTCGTGGCCTCCAGGCACTGCCCTGGCTCCTGGACTTCCCACCTCATGGCCCACACCCCCACCTCCCAGGCTGAGCAGCTCGGCAACGAGCTGGCGACAGAGCGCAGCACGGCCCAGAAAAACGAGAGTGCACGACAGCAGCTGGAGAGGCAGAACAAGGAGCTCCGCAGCAAGCTGCAGGAGATGGAGGGGGCAGTGAAGTCCAAGTTCAAGTCCACCATCGCAGCGCTCGAGGCCAAGATTGCACAGTTGGAAGAGCAGGTGGAGCAGGAGGCCAGGTACGGGAAGACCAGAGTTCCCACCCCAGCTCACTTGGGGACTCTGTGGGAGTTGGGTAACCAAGCGTCAGTTCTGGCTTGTAAAGAATAATTGTAGAGGTGCCCACACTGCGGGTGGGTGATGGGGAAGGACAGAGACACAGAAAGGGCTATGCGCCTGGCCCAGAGCAGGCCCCGAACATGCGGCTGCCCATAGCACAGTGGGCCTCATGGCGTTAGCCCAGGAGCTAACCTCTGCCGACAGGTATACAGGAGTCCAAACACCAGACCTCACAGCCCACAAACACAACAAGGCCTCACACCTTAATTACAGGTCAACTCAGGCACAAGATCCCGTTTATGACTAAGAATTCTGACCTTTTTGGTACTGATAATTCACATACTTTTCAATTCACCAATTTAAAGTGTACAATTCAACGGCTTCTAGTATATTTACAGACAGTGTGAAGTGATCACCACAGAAACTTCAACTGGGGGTGGTGGCACACACCTATGATCCCAGCACTCGGGAGGCTGAGGCAGGAGGATTGCCGCAAGTTCAGAGGCCAGCCTGACCTACATAGGAGACCTTGTCTCATAAATGAATGATTAAGAAACTTCATGTCCTTTAGCCATGACACCCTCCTGGTTTTCCCATTGCCCCCAGTAACTAAGAATCTATTTTCTATCTCTCATTTCCCTATTTTGGACGTTTTTGTATACAGGGAATCATATGCCACATGGCCTTTTCTGATAGGTGGCTTCTTCCTCTTAGCAAGGTGTTTCCTGGGCTTATCTAAGATGTAGCTTTCCTTGGCACCTCATTCCCTTTCATGGCCAAATCGTCTCCTTCCCTCTGGCTACCCGTTGGCATAAGCCCTGGTTTGAGGCGCAGGAAAAAGTGCTCACAAAGGGTGAGACGCTGTGCTTGGCTGCCATGCTGCAAGAGGAGTCCTCTCCCGCTGAAACTGCCTCCCTTTCCCACCCTGCAGAGATAAACAGGCAGCTGCCAAGTCGCTGAAGCAGAAGGACAAGAAGCTGAAGGAGGCCTTGCTGCAGGTGGAGGACGAGCGCAAGATGGCCGAGCAGTACAAGGAGCAGGTGGGCCGGGGAGCCGCCTTTCCCACCCTGCACTCTGAGGCCTTCTGCCCTCTACAGAGCCTCTCCCTCCCCTTGCCAGGCGGAGAAAGGAAACACCAGAGTCAAGCAGCTCAAGAGGCAGCTGGAGGAGGCCGAGGAGGAGTCCCAGCGCATCAATGCCAACCGCAGGAAGCTGCAGCGGGAGCTGGATGAGGCCACAGAGAGCAATGAGGCCATGGGCCGCGAGGTGACCGCGCTCAAGAGCAAGCTCAGGTGAGGGCCGGCTGGAGCGCTGGGGCTTTGCTGGCTGTCGTGCCTGCCCACACCCACCAGAGGCCACTCCCAACGCAGCGGCCCCCAGAGCCCTGGCTTCCTCCCAGGCTGCTTCCTGCTCTGGCACTAGTGTGGTGCACCAAGGTGGGCCAGGACCAGACCTGGCTGCAGCCCCTGGCCTCACCTTCCATCTCCCGTAACATGTGAGGAGAAGACAGAGCCCTGACTCCGGAAACCTTCACCGCATCCTCCGTCACGACCAGCCCCCTTTTCTGAACATTCGGTATTCCTTCTTTCTGGACCTCCGTGTCACTGCCATTTGGGGCCGGATGCTCCTTTGCGGGAGGGCCCAGCTTGTGCATGGCTGGGAATGGGAGAATAAAAGCATCTCCTGAGGATGCAGATAGGCCCTGGGGTACCATGGCCCTTGCCGAGGCTCTGCCCTCACTGCTGAGCTGTTGCCTGTCCCACCCCTGAGGGCGGCAGCCCCGCTCCTGCTGCACAGGCTGCTTCTTCCTCAGCCTGTCTGCCCTGTTTGGCTCCCCGAAGGTTCTGGCTCTAGGCTTCCCATCTCTCCCAGGCCACTGGCTCTTCTGATCTCATCATCCCAGTGGCCTTCAGCCTCCTGTCCCTTACCTTCTGCATGATCTCACCACTCCCTCAGGCTGACATGTGACCTGTAGGCCCTCATGATTCCGCCATCCACAACCCCCTCTCTGGCTGTGTCTTCCTGGGGCCTTTGCCCCACTGATGATCTCTTCCTTTCACAGCCCCCACAGACCCCGGGCTCAGCTTCAGGCCCCCAGCACCCGGGTCCCTGTCACGCTTCACCAGACTGGGTTGAAACATAGGCCACACTAAATCCCACCTTCATCTGCTCCGCAGCACAAAGGAGCATGAGAAAAGCAGACCACTGGCGCCACACCCACATTACTGCCTGACGGGCCTCACCCTACAACCTCCCTCCTCAGTCTCCTACGAGACTGAAGTTAAACCTCACTTCTGGTTTAACTGCAAAGCAGAACTGATCGTGAAATTCCTCCCACTTCCCCATCGACCTGTCCTGACATCTCTGCTCATTTCCTCTCCTTGCCAGCACTGATGCTGTCCCCTGCCTTACTTGCTCAGGTGGCTGCTTCGAGTCCCCCTCTGACACATTTTCCCTCTGGCTGTTATTCCAGCAGCAAGAAACACCTCTCACCTCTCCTCCCCACCAACTGCAGGAGCAAAGGTGCTGGAGGCTGCACTCGCTGCCTAGGGCCTCGCCGTGGCTGCATCCACTCCTCACCTGACTGCAGCAGCGGGGGTGACAGGTGCAGCCCCTCACTCCATGTCCACCTTCTTCCCTGGGCTTCCCAGGCCCCTCCGCACTTACTGGCTCTCTCCATCTAAAACCCACCTGGCACTCTGCTTCTCCCGCCTCTCTCCTCACTCCCTTCAGCCAGTCTTCTGGCTTTAGAATTCCGTGTTTGGCGAATAAGCTTATCTCTTAGCCGATGCCTTCCCAGGACCTCAGCCTCACCTGATCTTCCCACCTGGGTATCCAGAGGCAGCTCATGCCTCACACGCCCCAGACCCCCAGTTGCAGTGCCTCACTTCCCACCACCCAGCTCGGACTACAAACCTAGGGTCATTCTGTTTTTCTCCCTCCCTGGCAACCCACATCTAGTCTGTTGGAAAATTGCTCAACTGCCCCTTCAAAACAGTACACTTCGGGAATCCCATTTCCTGATCCTTTGGTCAGAGCCACCGTCCCCCTCATCCTGATTACGTTCACAGTCTCTTCATGGGCCTCCAGCTTCCACGCTGCCTCTTGCAATCTGGTGTCAACCAAACCCCAAAAGGGATCCTATTTAATGCTTTCTTCACTCAGAGCCAAAGCTACATCTTTACGGTGTTTCATTTCTGTTCACTGCCTTGACTATTACCCTTCCCGTCTTCACACACTGCCTCAGCCGCGAGACTCTTCCCCCAGCTCCCTCTTTCCACCCGCCTTCAGTCCTTACTCGGAAGTCGCCCAGTCTAAAATGTCTGAGCTCAGTCCCTGACTCCCTCTCTCCCTTACATTCGCCATGTCACCTGCTGATTATTTTATCTCACGGTCTGTCTCCCTCTCGGCCTGCAGCTCCCATGAGCACAGAGGGGTTTGTGTGTCCATCCCCGCTGTCTAGGTCAGCACTGGACACACAGGAAACCTTCAGTCGCTGAGCACAGAGGACTCACTCATTCTCTCACCACCTTTGTCAGCTGCGTTGGCCCCTTACTGCCTGCCATCCACTTAATAAGTAAAACTTTCCACTCCTATTTTTAAGCCAGTGCCGCTTATATTAAAAGGTCACGATGCAGTTAAATACTACAGTGACTTTAAAGCAATATTGAGCCATGTGTGGTGGCGCACACCTGCAGTCCTAGCACTTGGGAGGCTGAGGCAGGATCATCAGTTCGAGGCCAGCCTGGTCTACATAGTGAGTTCAAGGCCAACCTGAGCTACAAAGGGAGACCCTATCTCAAAAAAAAAAAAAAAAAAAGCAACATTGAGCTCTAGCTACAGGATTGTGGCCACAGACTGAGGGCTGAGACTTGCTTCTTTCTGTTTAAAAGGGAGTGACATCACACAGCATGAGAGAGGTTCTGATGGCCTCACTTGGAAAGGAACCCCCTTTCTTCCATGCAGTTCATTCATTGGGTGAAACACACGGTAGCCAGCACCTGGGGTACCTATTCCAGCCTTTGGGACCCACTTCACAATACCAAGGGAGAGGCTGGGACCCTTTGAGAGGAGGCGTGCCTCCCGGTTCTGGGCATCGAGGCTGTGAGGAGCTGGACCTGTTCCCCGCTTGGTGGCGGGAAGCTACAGCCAACTTCTCAGTACAGCAGGAGCCGAGGTGCAGCTCCTGGAGTGAGAGGTCAGAAAGATCCCAAGTGGATTCTATGGGCAACTGGAGGCTCTGGTGATGGGGTCACAGCTCTCTACCCATGCTGTGTTTGCTCCCTTGAGCTCAGTGGTTCTTTCAGCCTATGCCAAACAGTCCTGTGGGCACCCTTAAGCCAGACAGGCCCATGTGCCACACCATCCTGGCTGTCCCCTGGGTGGATTTCAGCATAAATCTGGGCACCAGAGCTTTGGGTAAGACCAGCAAGCCATGCCAGCTCCTTAGCACACAGGACTCACCCGGGAATCTACAAAGTGTCATCAGCCACACAGACCTCATCCCGAGCCCTCTCTGAGCCTGACCCATGTAACCTTCTTCATTTGCCATCTCGCTACTCGGCTCCAATCCAAGCTGCAAGTTCCTTTCATACCAGAGGCACCGAAGCTAACAAAAGACCAAGCAGTAATTAGGTTTGAAACGGCACAGGTCCCTGCCAAGGGTGACCGGGTGCCAGGCGGATCTCCCAGACTAGCTCGCTTCCAAAGCAGATGTGCAGTCAGGCTTGACAGGAGGTTTCAAGAACTTCTGAGGGACAGAAGTTTCCTTTCCAGTTAAAAAGTTTCCCTTTGTGGTGCCAGCCTCTCCTTGTGCTCTGGTGGCCTCAAGAGTTTCACTGTATGGCTGACTTAATGTGTCTATCACACATCATTTAACTGAAGCCAATGCTTTTAACGATAAGAGGTGTACTTAACCTGGCTCCTTCCCGGCTGCTGATGGTAACCATCCAGGACTCTCTCTCTATTTCAGAGGGCCCCCCCCACAGGAAACTTCGCAGTGACCCAGGTATCATGTCCCTGGCTTCGCAGCTCCTGTGTGTCACGCTGTTTCCATTGCCCACCCCCATGCCCTTCCTTAGTCTTTGCAAATGCCTGCAAGATTCCTGCAAAGCCTGAAGCATTGGGTGTCCTGGATTAAAACTGTCTTTTATCAAAACAAACATGAAGGTGACAAGTAGACCTTATCTCTTGAGTCATTTCTCTTCCCCCTGGGCAGTGCCTGGCAGGTGATGTGGCACCTAGCGTGGCCATAGCACCACCCTTGAGTGAGATTTTTAGGTGCAGTGTCACTTACCTGCGTGTTGAGGGTCACTCAGGCAGTGAGGACACTTGGCAGCGCCAATCTCTCCTGTACAGTGGGCATAGCCCCTGACTACGATAGTCCACACCCTGGACACATCCCCTGAGAATGGACCTACATGGCTTCTGTTGGGCTGGTCTGGGTCACAAATTGGGAACGACAACACAGGTTGGTGACCACAGCTAGAAACTTGTCCTCTCACAGTGAAGCTGTCACGCACTGTCTACAAAGGACATGAGCTCTCACTGCCTTGCTCAGATGCCGGGGCTTCATGCGGCTGGAGCACAGTCTCGCTGCTCACTGCATTTTCAGTGCATGAGGGTGGGTACCGGCTGCCACCGAGCCAGGCACAGTCTGCAGAGCATTTGTCAGAGTCCTCACAGCACGCTTGTGTTCAGATACTGGGTAGTAGACGCCCGAGACTCGAGGAAGCACATGGGGCCCCTCTCTAGAGAACGCAGAGGCCTCTACTGCTCTGGGATTTTAAGAACTTTCTCACATGGTGAAGTCAGACAATGGGGGCCTGAGTTCTCTGTCACCCTCCACTGAGGTCAATAAGCCCTTGCTTGGGTGCATCTTCTCTTTTGAATAATCTCAGCTCTGCTGTTGCCACCAAATACTTAAAGCTGTGTGAGGTCTTGCAGAGCGGGGAGTAGACTTCATTGTGGGGAGAGGGCAGGTGAGTCTCCAGGACACTGGGTCAGCGCAGAGGGTGGCTGCTTCCACAGCTGGATGGGAGGACCCACCAGCCAGCAGGAACCGAGTTCCTGCATGTAGGCGGGGCTTTAGGTGTGGACATCCCATCTGTCCGCTGTGCTTGTCAAGAACCCCAGTTCTCCAGGATAAGACCCTTCAAGAGAATCTGCAGAGGGTCTTTTACTTCCTGTAAAAGGTAGTTGTGTCAAACTGTCTAGGATCTGAAGCCAGTTCCTCCAAGAAAGGCCCGTGAGCCAGGAGAGAGTGCCTTGCAGAGGTCAGCCAAGCAGGGAGCCCACTATGACCCAGGGCATGGGCTACTTTGGAAGTCAAGGGGCAAACTGATCGCTTAACTCTTCTAAGAAATTAGCAAATGCAGGCTCTTCCCAGAGGCAAGTGTGCCTGGAACCAGAAAGCACAATTAGGTCGAGCTCCCAGCCCCAGGCTAGCCTGTGGGAACTGGGGGCCAGAAGCACCAGGGCGATGCTGTAGATGTGGCAAGTCCAGTGGTGGGTGATGCTCACTTCTCCGTCCTTACCATTGGAACCTTCTGTCCCACCATGAAATGGGTGAGATGGGCAGTTGTAGAGAGGTCCCTGCTACAGAGGTGGGAACAGCTGATTCTCTCATGGGGTGGGAAGTCTAGAAACTTCCCTTTAAAGCTGGCCTAGGAGTCTTGAGTTGGAAGTGGCTATGACTCTAAGAAGGGGTCCATGATGTGGGCTCCCCTTCGTGGCTTCTCTGTGCAGGCTTTGTGTGGGGAGCAGTGAGCTTTTGTTACCAGAAGTCTGCTTTCTTCTTCAGTGTCCTCAAATGAGTTGAGACCTGTCCTCCAATCAGGCTAAACAGGGCCACATGGCCAGAATTCAACACCATCATTTGTTGAAACAGTTGAAAAATACACGCCAGCATTTCTATCAAGCAGAGAAGGTTAATTACAGGTGGACCTGATTTTCCCCATCTGTCCACCCCTCACTTCAGGTGACCAGTCCCTCCTGTGAAGCCAGGTGGGCCTGGATGAGAACCAGCAGAGGGGATCTCTTTCCCAGAGGAAAAGAAGAGCCACAGGGGGGCAGAGAGTACGCTGTTAACCTTGGATTAACATGTATAACTTACTCTTCCAACAAGGATCCACCGAGCACCTATTTATGCCATACACATTGCATACCACAGTGAGTGAAAAACACACCAACAGATGCCAACTCTGACCCACAAGCATCAGACCAGGATGCCCTGTACCCGCAGGGGGTGCCGCCCTGTGTGTCCATCACCTCTATCCCTCTCAATGGTGCCCTTGTCCATTTTCAAAACCTGCTTCCAGTTATAAACCTAAAACCTCGCTTTTTCTGAGGGGGGCAAGAACACAGTATGTCTGCCCTCCTTCTGAATAAAAACATAGGTGTGCATTACCCCTACCTTTTCGATTTTTCCTCCTATTCCAAACCCAAGACCATGGCAGTCCAGAAGTAATCAAATGAACAAGCCAGACTGTGTGTGGTGCTGGAGATGAAGCCTGGGCCTTGCACATGCTAGGCAAACATTCTACCAAAAGCTATACCCCCAGACCGAGACATTTTTTTTTAACATTTCCATGGGGGGGGGGGCTTGTACCACTGGTGGTACAAATGAATCCCATCACTTTTATTGGTCTTTTAACTACTAAAATTAATAAAAAGGCACCTGAGGGGAGAGTTATGCACGTACCACTGGTGGTTCAAGCCGCCCAGCAGCAAAACATACAAATTACGGCCTCATCATGAATGCATTAAAGTAGATAATCTTGGCTGGAAGAAACCCACTCATTCCCGCATCTCAGCTGATTAAGCACAACCAAACGTACCTTAAGATTAGCCAAAATTTGTTGCCTTAAACTTGAAAAGCTGCATCTCATCTGTGTTGAGTGTGTTTGTGTTTGGTCTTTGCCCCTTATAAAAGTCTATTCCACCCTTGACAGAGAGTCCTTTACTAAAGAGTGACATGTTTTCTAATTAAAACCCACAGGCGAGGAAATGAGACCTCATTTGTTCCTTCCAGAAGGTCTGGAGGACGAAGAGTTATTGAAAATGCAGATGGTTCTGAGGAGGAAATGGACGCTCGGGACGCAGACTTCAATGGAACCAAAGCCAGTGAATAAACTCACTAGAGTTTTACATCACTGCAGGGAAAAAAAACCAAAATACCAAAAAAACAACAAAACCCAGCAGATACTACTTTAGCATTGTCTAAATCCATTCTCAAAATTCCAGATCTCACCAACACCCCTCACAATGACTGTAAAAGGACCACTCTGTAGCCAGGGTGTGAAATCCAGTGTTTCGGTTGTACCAGAGGAGAAGACCTAGAAGATAGGCAGCCTCGAGTCCTGCTGGTGGGCTGAGTTTTCAGAACAACAGCCGCAGTGACCAGTCGCCAGCAACTTCATTTACACGAAAAGGGGAGAAAGTCTCCAAAATGGGTGCCAACTGCCCCTGCTCACCCCAACTCATTCCCTACCCTGCAGGCCCCTCCCACTTCTTGACAAGGCCCTTGTTTGAGAATTCTCTTCCCCTCTCCCAGCTGCCACACCTCAGACACACACAGTTCACCCAGACCAAGTGCCTTCCGCAGTCACGTGACTTACAAAGGAACCGCTGCTCTAAGAGCTAAGAGCAGGGATGCCGCACTGTCTTCTATGCACCCTGATTGTACTTACGGACACCGTCACTAATAAAAGGTTATAAATCACCAGCACGGAGTTGGCTTTCTGTTGGAGTGCTTTCTTCAGACCCAAAGAAAAGCGAGAAGGGACGTTCTCATTTAATTCTCTCAGTGACCCTATGCAGTCAGGGTTATTTCAGACATGGAGAAACAGGCCTAGGGAGGTGACATAAGATGCCACACAGCTGGCATAAGGAAGAACAGACGCACAGTGTCTGAGGGGCCTCTCCAACAAGGATGCAGGTGGCCAGAGGGTCGAGGAGGGGGGACGGTGGCTGGCAGGGCACACTGCCTCTGCCCTTGAACCTGGCAGCAGAGACCATCCTGATCAACCAAAACCCAGTTGGCATGTAGTGGCTGAGCATCCCTGGTCCAAAAATCCAAAACGCTCCTAGACTCAAACCCTACCGAATAACAGTGAGACACCAAAACCAGAAAATTCCTCACCTGACTTCATGTGACTAGTCATAGTCAAAACACAGGAACCCTGAAATTACTGCTTACCTTCAGGCTATGTGGATAAGACACACATGAATCATAAATGAATTTTGTGGTTACACTTGGGTCCCATTCCCAAGGTATGTTAACATTCCCAAAAATATATATATTCAAAACCCAGAGCTGTTCTGGTCCCTAACAGTTTGGGTAAGGAATCTTTAATCTGTACTATGATGAATACAAGATTTTGATTTTGTAAATTAAAACACAAGATGCTTTGCCCAGCATGGGTTGGGAAACTGCCCTTATATAAATGCCAGACAGTGAATATTTTAGCCTTTGCAGGCTACATTTGGTCTGTCACACATTTTTTTCTAGTACTGAGGTTGAACCTGAAGCTTTTACACTGAGCTATATGCCCAGACCTTTTATTATCTTGAGAAAAAGTCTTGTTAAATTGCCCAGGCTGGGCTTGAATTTGTGATCCTTTTGCCTCAGCCTCCCAGAGTGCTAGGATTACAAGTGTGCACCAAAACACCCAGCTCTTTGTTATTTTTTTTTTTCAACAAGGCTTTAAAACATAAGAAAACCATTCTTAGGATTGGGTCCTTCAAAAGCAAGCCAGGGGCGTTTTCCTTGTCTAGCTCCAAGGCTTTGGACAGATATGCCCTGCAAAGGTTCTCTTTAACACCAGCTATTCTACACAGCCACTCCATGGGACAAAACTCAGACCACAGCAAACACAGTAATAGACTTGACCATGCAGCCAAATGCTACTACACCGCAAACAATGGGCAAATGCTCCCTGACAACATTTCTAACAGACTGACCAGAATAGAAATTTTTAAAATATATATATATTTTTTCTATTTTGTGACTTTGTTAAAAAAAAAAAAAAAAAAAAAGGAAAAGATTTTTTACCACCGTAAGAGCAACATGGAAATTCACATATGCGACCATACCACAAACCAGCTGAATGCGAGTTTCTCTTGATTTTATTGTTTAAAAAAATAAAGGACATCTTTTACCACACAGATTAGAACATGTTAGGTGACAAACCTGGCCGGTCTGTAGCTGACTTCTCAGCCAAACCTCAGGAGGGCTTAAAAAATTCTATTTTCAACTCAAGGCTTAGTTTCGCTGGTTCTGTCAGAAAATAACTTAGTAAAAAGTGCAGGCTATCAGGCTGCACTCCTGGCTCCTGGGAGGCACGGCTCTTTCCGCTGGTGTCTGAGAGCAGAGGCAGCAGAGCAGGGCCAGTAGGGGCTCACAGACGACTCGGGGAACACTGGGGCTGCTGTGCTTGTTTCTCCGTTTCACCAACACGCTTCCAACAACATCTGTTGTTTTCATCGCATCTGAAGGCCACCCCGTTTATTTCAAGATGGCTTTGAGTGAAGTTCTCCACTTAGGGGCTGTAGGATCCAGGCCACTGTACTCCTAGCACCCCCAAAGTCCTGAAGCAGATGTCACCCCCATGCCAGAGTGGGGAACTTGGGGATTAAGGGCTGGGCCTTACCCGCAGAGGACAGGATTCCTCACTGATGCTGATTTGAAAATGACTCCAAAACGCAAACATTATCTCTAAAGACCACCATGAGGGGCACATTAAAGAGTCAGAGGTACACTGTCAGTTTTAAAAGGCACACGCATCTTTTCTTCACCGCTCCAAGACGTGATTTCTGCACACCATAAAGCACTGAGAGTCCGTTCTGGAAGTCAGCTCCAGATGCAAGGGGCCAAGAGGTGAGCCCGAGAGCTGGACACTAACAGCACCCCACAAGGACATCAGGACTCCTGGGTAGCCAGTGACGGACAGCCTTGTCCCCCACACTCAGAACCTTCCTAGAGGCCCAGTTTGTCACTGTCTCTGTGATCCACACACACCAAGGGGAGACGTCATTTCGCAGGGATACCACCAGGGCCACGGCTGACAGCCTTGGTCAGTGGCTTGGGCCACACAGGACAAAGCAAACTATAGTGACTGCTGGCTCTCATTTCTCAAACTAATTATTTAAAAAAAAAAAAAAAAAAAGCCTAGTGTGAAGGCAGGAGGAAAGGAAAGGTAAGGACCCCGGCCAGACAGGACTCCAGCTCGCGCGGGTTCCTAAAGCAACAGCTTGACAACCCCAGGGGCAGACGGCAGTGGCAGTGCTGGCGAGGATGGATGTGAGGGCGGCTTCCCGAATTCCAGGCGTTTTCCCAACCTTCAGATAGAGCAAACCAAGTTTAGCTGACAGGATGGCAGGGACAAACCGGCTAGCACCGGGGCCCACAGGGTTCTAAGAGTGAGGAGCAGGGTCTCACAGGGCCTCAGTTTTCTCTCCTGTGAAATGAAGAAAAGGACACTGGCTACCTGGCTCTCAGACTCCCAAGCTCACACAGAAAACTCCTTCTCAGAAGAACTTCTAAAAACATCCACTTCTTGTCAAAGGTATATTTTTTGTGTGAGAAGAACAGTGCTAACAATCAAACCCCGGGCCTTCTGTCTACAGAGCTACACTCCTAGTCCCTGAATTTAAATTTTCAAAAATAAAAATTAAATTTAAAAAAATCTATGTCTAGAGTTCTGAGAGTGCATGCCATGGGAAAACAATTCCTAGCTTCCCACCACAAGTCTGCCACAGGCCCACCAGATTTGGGTGGCCTGGTCTCTAGACACAAAAAGCGTTTCTCCCATGGAATTCCTGCATGTGGAAAGGGCTCTGGTTTTCTTTCAACAAGAAAACAAATCCATTAGAGGTCAGATCTGCATCTCCCAACTAGATGACTGGTTTTGGGAATCTAGTCTGGCTAGAATTTAGTCAGTCCTTTCAGTTTCTAGAAGGGTCTACATGTTTAAAAATAAAATTCTACTTTCTAGAGGAAGCAGATAAGTGTTTGAAGCTCAATGCCTAAACAAGGTACTCAGACATTCTCACAGCCTGCCCTTGAGTCAGGGCTGTAGAAACAAATGATAAACATGGCACTCTCCTTGGCTGTTTGCCCAGACCAATTCCGCTTCAAGGGAAGGGAGTACAGGATAAGGTCACCGAAATAATCCTACAGCTCCAAAACAAATGGTGGCGGGTGGGACTCAGCGTTGACCGGAAGTCGCTAGATACAACCTCTACCACAAGAAGGAACATCAACAGGTACTGACCCTTTGTCACCCAGAGGTACGCCACTGCCGCTTGTCCTTCTGTCACTGCCACCATCTCTGTTCTTGCTCCCACGCCCTGAGACTGGGCCACTTGTCCGGGTGGGGGACTGATCATATACAAAGTTCCGGCAGGATGCAAGTTTGGACTCCAGTGCCTGGTAAGAAATGTGCTTTTGTCTTTCAAGTTAAGGACAGGAAGTCCTCTCTCACCAGACCCCATATAGAGAAGAGAACCTAAAACAGTGATGCTCAAATTGTGCTGTGCTGGAATTCTGGGGCAGGGCCCAGAGGAATCCAGTGTCCCCAGTTCTCATAACCACCTGCCTGAAATATTTGGGAGCATCTTGGAAAGTCACTAACTCCACCTATTGTTCAACTCCACCTATATGAAGTAGAACATCAACTCAGAATCATTCACTGTTTTGTTACTGTGTTAAACATGTATAGAGTGGCATGAAGTTTAAACAAGGACTTGAGCTGTTGCACGCCTATAATCCCAGCACTCAGGAGGCTGAGGCAGGGGAATCACTGTGAGTTCAAAACCAGCCTGGGCTAAATAGTTAAGTTCCAGGTCAGTCTCAACTACATAGTGAGACCCTGTCTCCAAAAACAACAATAGGGCCAGGGATTTGGCTCAGTGGTTCTGCCGCCTGCCTTGCAAGCGCAAGGGCCCGAGTTCAATCCCCAGTACCAAAAAAAAAAAAAAAACCAAAAAAAAAAAAAAAAAAAAAAAAAAAAAAAAAAAAAAAAAAACAATGACTGAACTTGGAGTAAACAGACTCTGAGGAAACTACAGGGGCAGGAGAAGCCCCCTACCCACCAGGCTTCTCCATATGCTGCTAAATACGCACAACCTGCTCATGCCACAGAAAACTGGAAAGCCAAGAGCCAACACATAAGGAATAAGTTGCAAGCTTCTACTGAGTTTAGTCATGAGTGTATGTTCAAACTGCAAGATTGAAATTATATGGCTCTCAGGCCTCATTTTTAGTGTATGTGCTGCCAAAGTGAGCACTCAGGCCTCATTTTTAAAAATAAAAGAAACAACTAACAAAAATACCCACATTATTGCTTAAGCACACAAGAATCCCTTCACGTAATTAATGGGAAACCGGAAAGGTCAGTCTCTTCTTTCTGATCTTTCAAGATGTTCTATTAAACTCCTGAGAGAACAAAAAAAGAGCAAGCCATTTAAAAACGGCCCTTCAATTTCTTCAAAGGAAAAAGGCCATCAATTGACCTTATTGACCCAAACTCCTTGAAAAAATGGAAGAAAAATGGTTCGTGGAAAAAAAAAAAAAAGCACACCCAGAGATGAGAGGGCAAGACTTCAGTTCTGAGCTCCGGGCCTTGAAGATTCTGCTCCAGGAGGCTCTGATGATGCTTGGTGACTCTGAAGGACCAGTCACATCTAAAACCTATTATGTCTCTATTCAAGGCAAGATGCTCCCTTCCAGGTATTGTGAGAGACAGGCAAGAAGACACACACACCCCGGGAAGGCGCAGTCTTACCCCTACTTTCCGCAGCAGGTCCCCCACAATGTTGAGGGCTGAAATCCGGGCGGCAGGTGTGAGAGGGGTCCCACTGTTGGAGCTGTCCAGCCCTGGTTGTACAAGGAGAAGCACACATCACAACACCAGCCTACAGTCTGGTCTGTGCACTAACATCTCTAAATATGAAACCGTGGCAGGGGAGAAGGGAAGTTGCTGGCTTTCCCTTGCTTCGGAATGCTGCCCCATTTCATTCAGGAGCTAACTGGGCAACGTGCCAAGACTCTACTGGATGACCAGCCTTTTAAATCCTTACAAAATGAGATTAAACATTTAGTTTCACATCAACAAAGCTAAAGCCAGGTGAGATTGAGCATGGTTGTAATCCCATGCACTCTGTAATCCCTTTTAATCCTAGCACTCTGGAATCTGAGAAGGGAAGATTGCAAGATTGAGCCCAGCCTGGGCAATTTAGCAAGATCCTGTCTCACAATTTTTTTAAAAAAAGTCTGAAGGGCTGAGGATTTAACTCATTGGTGCTGCTGCCTTACCTCCAAGTGCAAGGTCCCGAGTTCGATCCCAGGTACCCCCCACCCCCTAAAAAAGCTGAGGATGCAGCTCAATGTGAAGGTTCAGGGTTCTATCCCCAGTGGTACAAAACAAACAAACAACAACAAAAAGTCAAAACAGGTCCACCCCAATTTCTAGAAATTATCATAATTTGGGATAAATACAGTAGGCACACAGCCAGCCACTCTAAAAAGGGCCTGCTCTGTAGAGCCCTCTTCTCCAAGGTGGAGTCAATGCACCAGCAGCAACTGGTGTACAACAGGCCCCACTCACACTGGCTAAATTTAAGGTGCAAATCAGTAAGACTGTAACTCATCCCCACGTAAGCTGTGTGCCTAACACGTGTGGGAGATAACGCTAGACTGCTAAGGCTTAGGCGGCATGTGGTAAACTAAGTCCCGCGGCCAGCCTGCTGGGGTTAAAATCCCAACAGTGCCATCTCCCTGCTGTGACTTTGAAGGCAGAGCCTGTCTCCATCTCCGTGGAATGGAGCCAGCACTTGCCCGGCAGGCCTGTGGTGTGAATTTACACGATCGCTGCCCAAAGTGCTTTGAGCACTCAGTACTTGTTTTCCTACCGCTCCACATCGAGGATCACAATGCCCTGCTGTGAGGAGCGCCCCAGACTGCTCCCCACCATATGGCTTAGCCCAAGGCACCTCACCTAGGACCCAACCAGGTTCCCACCAGGACAGGGGTGAAACACAGAAAATCCTCCCGGTTCCCCACACCTTACCACGCCTGACTGTCCCCGGCGTATTTAAACCAAGGCCGAGTCCTCGGTGAGCTATAGGAGTAGATGGCACAGAGCCTGTGGCCTGCACAGCTGTGTCTGTCCTTTCGGCTTCCACCGAGCTGGGCATGGGTGTCCTGGGCTTCTCCTGCTTCTGCTGCACAGCCAATTCCTGCCGCAAATCTGCGCCGAGAAAGGGATTCAGGAATGTAAAGTCCTTACTTTCAGGGTGGGGTGGAGGTCAGACAGATGCTTCGCAGGGAAAATAACTACCGGGTGAATAAGTCCAGAACCCCGAATGAAGCAAAGCCCGCCTGACCCTGCTTAGCAGGTTTGCAAAGCTACATCATTTTCCTTGAGTAAAAAAGGTTTAAAAATTGTTTAAAACAGTGGCAGTGACACACTACTGCTTTGCTTTCTGAAAACTTTAACACTGCAGTGTACACAGAATCCCAAATTTAAGTGTGCTTTTCCAGCTATCCCCAAACACCCTTCCCTGATCACAAGTGATCACCTATAACACACGGCAAGTCTTCTCAATCCTTTATTGCTGCATGTTCAGACAGTCTGAATGTGGGTGAAGATCTACTGGCTATAAAGTATAAGCATTTTTATTAAGCATAAATATAAACATCGACACCTCCTGTCCATGACTTACTCTGCCTCAATGGTACATGTACGCAATTAATTATTCCCAAGACGACATTTAATCTCTTTTCTTCCTTTTAACAATGGTTTAACGTATCATAGCAAACCTATGTGGGTTTTTTAGCCACCTCACTACCACTGTTGATACTGATGGGCACTTAGGAACAACTACGGGTTGAATATTCCTCATCTAAAATGCTTGAGACCAGAACCGCTTCAGATTTTTCTAGGAATATCTGTATACTTTACTGGTTCAACACTGCTAATTCGAAACCCAATCTGAAACTTTTTGAGCACTCAACTAACAGTTTTTTAATTTAGCATTTTTTAAAATCCTCCCCTTCAGGCCACATATTATTAGAAATCAAACTAATGTTATGAATAATCAGTTCAGACTTCAAAAAAAATCTCTTATGCACCCACTGTGGGTGCTACCTTAATGCCTTGGTACAGGAAAGCTCTACCTCTGGGACTGTCCACCTCCACTGAGCAAATGCTGAAAAGGTTTCTCAATCCAAAGTATCAGTTACCACCAAGTCACAAAAGGAACAGACTGATGAGCAATTCTACCAGCAGGGTTCTCCTTCCCATGAGACTTAGTCCATAGTGCATCAAGCATATGTGTCGATTTCAGACCAGGAAGCTTCTCTCCCAAATGAATTCCACTGCTCAGGAGCAAAGCCCCCAAACGAGGGCTTCATCTGTGACCTTCAAAGCTATCTCTGTAAATATCTATGAGGGGTCTTCACAGGGTCTGAGGGCTGAGAATTCTGAGCACTTGAGCAGGGACCAAGGGAAGGGTCCTGCACACTCTGGCTGGACAACCCACATGCTGGGAGGGGTGCAGATTCCCAGTAAAGGCAGTGATGGGCAAGGCACAGAATAGGATGGTATCAGAGATGGAGAGGAAATCACGCTAGTAAAAACAAAGAATAAGGCCAAAACCTCTGACCTCTGGCTTCATCCTTTAGTCGCTGAACAGATTCTAGGAGGTTCTCCTTCTCGTCAAGTTCACTTTCCAGGAAGGCATTTCTTTCAATGGCTTGATTCAGGCGCTGCTCAAAGTCTTCCAGAGACATGATCGTGGCTCTGGGTAAGAGAACAGCAAGGTTATCCTAAACAGGAAATGGCAGCATTTATTTGGTACCTACAGACCCGAAGACATGAGGGTCAGATACACCTGGGCACAAGTCCCAGCACTGGTCTTCCTAGATGCCACAGGCAAGGGTGAGTCCCTTAACCTTCAGGGGCTCAGGCTCATCACCTGCAGAATGGGAACGTGAGAGTTCAGGTTGTACTGGGGGTAAAGTAAGGCGATATCCACACAACATTCAGCACCCAGCCAAGGTATTATTGTTCCAGTCTCTGAGAGCAGCCTGCCCATCTTCTCTTGGAAGCTCACAATTAGTATTCAGAGCAGCCTAATAAAGCGCATGGGCAATTGGTAATGTGCATTTAAAAAGGTAGAAGAGACCAGCTTTCACCTCTCAGTTAAAGTTTAACAAGTTCCATGGGACTGGGGATTTAGCTCAGTGGTGCCTCCGCCTGTCCCGAGTTCAATCCCCAGTACCAAAAAACAGTTTTTTTAACAAGTTCCAAATGTCTAGCTCCAGTCCAGCTGCCCTGCCAAAAACCAATTCTTGTGAATAGTGCAGGTATTTCATTAGAACAGTGCTGTGAAGGCTCTGAGAAGTGCTATAATGGAGAAATCTGTTTAACTCTGGGCTGGCTACTTTCTCTATGCCTCAATTTACTCATGTGTAAATCACAGATATATAGTTAGGTCCCCCTATACGAGGGTTAGGCTGTGCAAATTAACACAAAAAGCACACAACAGATGCTTTATACGTAAGTGTTCAGTAAATGCTTGCAATGTTTATGACTGACCCTGTGTTTGCTCCTAGAAGGCTGGTAACATCCTTGCATTACAACTATTTCCTAGCGGCTGGAAGCACATGCTTGGACTAGAACCTAGGAGCTAACACCCAGATTTTCCATGCAGACTGCATGTCTCTGTGCCTTTAGTCACAAGGTAAGGTTTGATTCATTCATTGACCCAACACATCCTATGCCATCTAGATTGAGTCAGGTCATTACCTAACCTCCTCAAAGTGTCTTTAGAAGAAATAAAGTTACCAGAAGTCTCAGATTAAAAACAACAAACATAATACTTAGGAGAGAATCAGTCAAAATGATCCTAAGGTTATTAAACAATTTGAAGCCGGTAAAATACACAGGAATTCATATAACAGTGAATATGCAAGGGATACAAAATGCTTAGAGAAATGCAGACATGTTGTGCTGATGAAGCAGAAGACCCACAATCATGAAAAAATCCGTCCTACCTACATTAATGAAAAATTTGTCACCACCCTGATAAGAGGACTAATTGGTATTTACTGGGGGAAGAGGGACCAGGGGACTGATTCGAAAATCACGTCATAAAGAAACACGAATGGCCTTGAGAGCGCTGGAAAAGACCTCAGGGAACTAGTTCTAGCAGGTACAAGACACACACTATTAGTCTAGAGACTCAACAGTCATCATAGGCATGGTACCTGTTCACACATGTTTAGGCCAGGGAACCAAAGGTCCAGAAATACAGGTGAGACACGCATGAATTGAACGTAGGGTGAAAGATGGCAGGCTCAAGTCTGCGTCTGGGGACCACTGAGTACTCACGTAGAATCAAACCTCAACTGTATCAGAAATTTACACATAGTTGTAATTTGCTCTAAATCTACTATTTGGCTTCCAGAATACCAGAGAATAACGTCAGCAGCACATCTGCCACTTCTGACCCAGCGAGGACCGCTGCCTTGCGACTGCATGTGACTAGCACAACAGTACTGTAGTATGGGCAAGGCATATCACCAGGATATATGCTACAGGCTGAATATCTGCTGTCAAAGAAAAGTCAACACCCCTGGGTAACCTGAGCGTAAATCATTTTTAGATGCTGCATGCATTTATAGGCTATATGTATATATTACATATTTATATTAATCACTCTTTATATGCTGAAATTTTATCAAACGATGCATAAGAGCATATTTATTATAATAAGACTAAAATGCTGAAACAATGACTGTGAAAGAAGTTAATCTCAGACATTTGCTGAGAATTTAAAATGGTTAAATAGGAAACAGTTTAGTAAATATAAATTTTTTTTTTTTTTTTTTTTTACCAGGGATGGAACTTGGGTCCTTGTGCTTGCGAGGCAGGCGATGGCATCACTGAGCTAAACCCCGGCCCAGTAAATATAAATATTAAGAAATACAGCTGTTAAACACATGGAAATAGAATCAGATTAAATCAATGTAATCTCTGTAGAACTTTACATTATTTTAGCCCTGTACATGAGACAAAATAACCTTTAAAGGATGTACTACTTAACTTTTAGTTACTTCCAATATGGTCCTGAGTCTCTCCAGGTCACCCATACACAAGGTTCCCCTCCCTCAACAAAAAGTGAGTAAAGTTTTTTACAGGTATATAATGTCAAGACTATAAAAGCAACCAAACAATTGATGCTGCTGAGAAATTGCTGTTCTTGCAACAGATTGTCTAATTTATCAAAAATAACTACTAAAGCCTTATAATAAAACCTTAATACTTTATTAAAGTTTTTTAAAATTAAAATGTTGGGGGCCGGGGATTTAGCTCAGCAGTTCGGTGGCCTGCCTTGCAAGCGCAAGGACCTGAGTTCAATCCCCGGTACCAAATAAATAAATAAAATAAAATAAAATGTTGGTGTTGTAGAAGTTCATTCATCCTATAATGGTGATTTGGGCCTCTACTTCACTTGATTTTAACACTCAACTATTCAACATTTGGCCAAAATGTGATTCCAATGTATCTGAGAGAGACAGACAGAAGGAAAAATAAAAATAAAAATACTAGAAGAAAATATAGGCTAAGTGCTTTATAAACAATAAGTGCAGGTCACCCTATAAATTTGATTACATAGAAATCAAATAACTTATACACAGTAAAGCATACAACAAAGCCACAGAAAAATAATAAACTCCAAGGACTCATCAGACAAATACATAAAAATCTCCTAGAAATGACCAGAAGAGGGAACCAATCAACCATCCACTTTAAAAATAGCACTTACCTAGCATATGCAAAGCTCTGAGTTTGATTCCTAGCAACACAAAAACAGAAACCAACAACAGCAAAAACCAGGCAGAGAAAAAAAAAGAGTTCACAGAAAAGGAAGCAAAATAGCTCTTAAGCATATAAAGAGGAATTCAAGGTCACTCAGAGTTCAGAAATGCACCCATTTCTGAGACCGGCAGAAATCCTATGTTTGAAAACCACTCTGCTGGTGAAGCTATTTGGAAAACAGGAACTCAAACCATAGCCACTGGGACTGCAGATTGGGGTGAGCATACAGAGAATGACATCAACCAAGATCACCCACACATATATCCTCATACCCGACAGTTTCACTTCAGGAAATGTATCCCACAGATGCATGGTTATTCATTACAGCAACACTTACTGTAAAGGAATGGAAATGCGAAAGATACCCATGCACAGGAGGTAGTAAGCAAATAACTATGGGGCCACACAACATAATACCAACCATCCGAGAGAACATCACATATGTATTTAGGGAAGAAAAAGAACAAGGAATGTAGTGTCCTAAAACAGAATGCTCTCTGAGATCTATTGCTATGTGAAAGCGCTAGGTGTACAACACTGTGGACAAAATGTTCTTCTGCATGAGAATTGGCATAAAAAAATTCCACCCCTTTGTGTATTATTTCTGAACCGTGAGAATGCACTACCTCCTGTGGGAGGCTGCAGTGCTGGCCCCACTCTTTACCCCTCCCTGTATCCACACCCTTGCGTGACTTGCTCTGTGTGCTCAATGATAAATGGGTGGAAACGAGAGCATACAGTTGCTTGCTAGAAATTAGAAAGTGGCTTTACATACAAGTACATATGTACAAACTCATATAAAGCCACACTACCCAAGTCAGTATGACATTTGGTCCAGCAATTCAGAAATTACACACTGGACCAAATAAAGAAGCCACAATTAAATCCCAAGCCACGAGAAAATAACATATGACAGAGTTGACCTCAATTCAGTGGGAAAAAGATGGAGTGTTAAATAAATAGTGCACCAAAACTAGCTATCCACTTAAAATAAAAGTGAGCTACTTGGAAGACTGAGACAGGATAGTCTCAAACTCATGGTCAGCCAGGCAACTTAGCAATACCCTATCTCAAAATTTAAAAATACAAATAAAATCACTTCTCGGCCTTTTGGCTAAGATCAAGTTCAAAAAATAAAAATGAAAAAGGTTAAGGTTGTAGGGAGAAATCGGTATCTTACCCAACACACACACACACACACACACACACACACACACACACACACTATATGGATTAAGGCAGTAAGAAAATTAAACAATAAAAAATCTTCCAAATGAGGCTGAGGGTAGCAAGAAAACACACATAATCAAAGGACGGAGACTCCTCTAGTGAAGTCAGTTAAGTTATAAAAGGAGATATAATTGATGACCTAAAAATGAAAAATATTTGTATGGAAATTGATGCTACAAAGTCAATAGATGAAAGGTTATTTTGGAAAAAATTATATTCAAAAGATTAGTTGCAAAAATGTACAAAGAACTCTTACAAATTGATAAGATGCTTCACTAGTGATAATGATGAGAGCTTGTAATAGACCAAACCTTCCAAGCCTCCTATACACAGCAACTGTAAACTCTGGATAAAAAGTGAAAAAAAAAAAAAAAAGAATTATCTGAAGACACTGGTGAAAAGTGCAAGGGAGTCAATACGTAAAAGGAGAGAACAGCACCATCGAATTTTGCATCGTTACCATCTTTTTACCCAAAAAAAAAGAAATCTGAAGACACTGGTGAAAAGTGCAAGGGAGTCAATACGTAAAAGGAGAGAACAGCACCATCGAATTTTGCATCGTTACCATCTTTTTACCCAGGCTCCAGGGATGGAATTCAGCACCATGGAGGAGACCCAAATTCTGCCTCCAAGCCCTTCCCACATCTCCCACTGATCCCTGAACCCAGGCCTGCATCCGACTCAAA